GCTAATTTTTGTATTTTTAGTACAGACTGGGTTTTGCCATGTTGGCCAGGCTGGTCTCCAACTCCTGACCTCAGGTGATCCACCTGCCTCCGCCTCCCGGCCAAAAATTAACGATTTTAAAGCAAATAGTTCATCAGATTTTAGTCCATTCGCAGTGTTGTTCAACCACCTCCTCTGTGTAGTTCTGGAACATTATCATCCCCCACAAAAGGAAACCCCATCCCCATTAGCAGTCACTCACCAGTCCTCTACCCCAGCCCCTGGCAGCCACCAATCTGCTTCCTGTCTCTGTAGCTTTGCCTGTTCTGGGCATTTCAGATCACTGGAGTCTCACACTGTGTGACCTTTTATGTTTGATTTCTCTTACTCGGCATCATGTTTTTGGGGTTCACCCACGTTGTAGCATGGATCAGTGCTTCATTCTTTTTCATGGCTGCATAGCATTCCACTGTGTGGAGGTAACCTATCTATTCTTCATTCATCCATTGATGCACATTCGGGTTGTGTCTGCCTTTTGGTTGTGTGCTGCTGTGGACAGGGTATCTCTTTGAGTCCTTGTTTTCCATTCTCAACCCTAGTGGACTTGCTGGGTCATAGTGACCGTTTGTGTGTACACGGCCATCAGGGCTGAGTGAGGATAGTGGACAAACAGTCACGGGGGCCAGGGATCGCTGGGGAGATGTGGGCAGGAGACAGCAGTGCCTGGACCGGGGTGGGGGTGGCACTGACCAAAGAGGGGACCCTGGATGGGGGTCCTAGCATAACTCGGCTGCAGAAGGGGTGAGGCTGAGATGAAAGTTGTCACAGAGGCGGTTCATGGGGGCATCTGGAGGCAGCTGGGCTGCAGGGCAGGTCACCAAGGCAGGGGCCAGGAAGCCGCAGATGGAGGCTGGAGGGTCCGTCCTGGGGGTCTGCAGAAAGGGAGTGGCCAGAGAACAGGGAGCAACCCAGAGAGTTCCAGGTTGGTGTGGGCAGAGCACAGCATGGCTTCCCGCTGTTTTTGTTGTTGTTGTTGTTTGTTTGTTTTTTTGTTTTTTGAGACAGAGTCTGGCTATGTCTCCCAGGCTGGAGTGCAGTGGCAACATCTCAGCTCTCGCCACCATCTCTGCCTCCCTCCAGGCCTCAAGTGATCCTGCCACCTCAGCCTCCCGAGTAGCTGGGACTACAGGCATACGACGCCTCACCCGGCTAATTTTTATATATTTTTTTGCAGAGACAGCGTCTCACCATGTTGTCCAGGCTGGTCTCGAACTCCTGGACTCAAGCAACTCTCCTGCCTTGGCCTCTCAAAGTGCTGGGATTACAGGCATGAGCCACCGCGCCTGTCCAGAGCATAGCCCTTGACTTTAGTGTCTGGCAGTCCTGGGGATGTGACTGAGGAGAGGAGGAGGGGGACGTGGTGGGGTGGGCTGGGATGTCCCCCATCACCTGAGTGTGGGGGTCAGGTGCACCAGGAAGCAGGAAGAGGGGAAGGTGAGGCAGGACCTGCTTGGTGGGAGACCCCGCGCTTGGCGGCATGGTGCGCCCGGGCAGGGCAAGACTCCGTGGGCAGCCGCCTCTGTCAGGGTCGGGGATTTGCAGGGAGTGGGCCCAGATCACCCACAAGGCAGGGGCCTGTTAAGGTAAAGATGGGAAGGGGGCCGGGCGCGGTGGCTCATGCCTGTAATCCCAGCACTTTGGGAGGCCGAGGCGGGCA